GAGAATTCATCCTGTGTTCCGAGTCAGGAGACACAGAAGTCAGAGATGGTCATTCAGAGTCTTATTCTAAGAGCTTCCATCATGTCACAGGGAAAACTTACATACACCTGTGTGAGCACACAGTGCAAGTATATGAATCATAGGCTTCCAAGTAGAATAACTGAAAATCATAAGTTTCTTTGCTTTTATTTTGTAAAGTCCTTTTTAAAAAAACAAAAAATAAAAAAAATTTCAGTTTCTAATAACTGTTTCAGAAGTTGCCAATAACATTGTTTATATTGTCGTTGGGACACACACAGCATGCTGGTACAGTCACACAGACAGACAGACACACAGACACACACACACACACACACACACACACACACACACACACACACGCACAGAGCAACTCTGCCTCTGTTTTCTAATAGTCTCTAAGACTCTCTGTCTCAAGTTCCTTATCTACAGATGCAGCTTCATGCACGGTGTGTATGCATGTGGATGCGTGTCTAACAGGTTTACTGTGAGAACTACTTTAGCTGGTGTAGCTCACACTGCCTGGAGAGCACGAGGCACTCGTCACCTACCGTGCTTCTGCTGCCACCGTCTAATATGATTCCATTATCCTTATCTCATTATTGTGACAATAAAATGCTGTAATCATAGCATTCTCAAGCATCTACATTTTATTTTGTATGAAATGACAGTTCTTCCATTTTAATTGCGGTTAAGTATAAAATAGTGTATGTCATTTAAAGTGGAGGCTGAAAAAATGCTCTCCTTCTTTTAAAATACATCTCCAGCATGATGGATTTTTATAAATTATCCTAAAATAGACCTTTTAATTTGGAAGCACCGATATGATAGCAGAATGTTACTCTTAAAAGGAGCTTCAGAATAAGAGCTGAGTTGAGGAACAGGCATGCAATCTATGCTAAGGAAGTTTGTAACTATAAGCATACGTACCTATGTTTATAGTACATGGTGTATATATGTTTTTCTTTGGATGTTTAGAACTAATCCTGTCCTGTATGTAATATGTTATATACATATATACATAAATTAAATGGTACCATATACATACAACACATACAAAAATAGCATTTAAAACCAAAGCAATAGTTTCAATCCAAGTATTCCCATGTCTGCCCATGACACTACAGCATGCAGACCTGAACGGCTCCATATGGCAGACACACACCACTGACGAGTTATTTAGCCACTGAGCAAAAAAAAAAAAAATAACGGAATTTCAATTCCCTATGAAGCATATTTCTATTTGGAAGTCATTTCTCCCCATGTGCCTGATTGATCGTATTTATCATTTCTTTAACATGTCCTTTTTCATGCAGTAGAAATTGCAAAGGGGATAAACCAAAACCATCCTGAGAAGGTCCTAATAGAAAGGGGTTAAGGGCAATATGGAAGTCTGACCGTCAGTTCAGACCTGGTACCAGGATCTGGGAATGTTTGTGCATCAAGAAGACGGGCTATATTGTGACCAAACCACTAAAACAAACAAATAAAACAAAACCACCCCCTCCCTCCAGCTAATCCCAACAGGCCTGCAAGCTTTATTAAACAAGACAGTAAAGTTCTTATCACACTGGGCCTGGAAATGCTCTGTACTATTTAAGAGAAAAAGAGGGAGAGAACACTTTTCTTCTGGGTATTTCACCACAGGGCACTAAAATGATGGAGTTTTTTTTCTTCTCTTTAGATAGGCTCATACTGTGTAGTCTTGGCTGTCCTGAAACTCATTGTCTAGATCAGCCTGGCCTCCAACTCAGAGATCTGGATGTCTCTGTTTCCCAAGTGCTGGTATTGAATTCCTGGCTTGACACCACCACTCTTAAACAACCCATATGTATTCTGATTTGAATTGAGGAAGGACAGACAATCTGCGGCTGCATATCAATACCACGTAAAAACCTCCCTCTGTTCCAATGCCTGCTGCACTTCTCTTCTGAGCTTCATGAGGTAGTAACGAAATTATCTCCCCACTCTCATCTTCAGGTAGCTGTGCCTGCATTTTCTAGAGACTGTGTGATCTTACTCCCATCCAATCAGGATGATGGTTAATTATGTAACAAGAGAATTAAAGGTTTTAACAAGAATCTTCATTTATGGAAAGAAGATATTAAAGTACTTGGACCATTTTTACCCTTCTCTCTTAGGAATGGGAATCCAACCGTTTCAAAGTCTATGCATGTACTGTCCACAGTCATTCTCTAGTGGGGGAGATGCTGTACTGGCCAAGGCCAGAGCTTTTCTGTGAGAGCTTGACACCAGAACTGTCTGGAGACTTGAATTTTTTAGTATTTGCATATAAACAATGTGGGGATGAGCCCAAGTACAAATATTAGTTTTCTGTATAACTTACCCACACAGCTAGACATCATTTTATACATTTTTAGTATATCTGTGTTTAAGTCGAGTTTGTCATGTGACTTTAGGTATGCAGTTTTCCTCTTTAGCATCTTTTAAAAAATTTTTGAGATGAGGTCTTTCTACATAGTCCTGACTACCTAAGATTCACTTTGTAGATGAGGCTGTACTCGAACTCACAGAGGTCCCCCTACCTTCTCCTCCTAAAAGGCATGTGCCACCATGTCCAGCTGTGGCATCATTTTTGACACAGAGTTTGGATTTTCAGATTAGGATGCTCAATGTGGGTTACTACTTATAAAGTCTGTTTGCTTTTGCAGACACAGGGAACAGTACCACTCTGCTAGAGGACAGAGGCTGTGAGACAGTAGAGTCTGTGAGGGCAGAGTCTGTGAGACAGCAGAGCCTGTGAGACAGCAGAGGCTGTGAGACAGCAGAGGCTGTGAGACAGCAGAGTCTGTGAGGGCAGAGTCTGTGAGACAGCAGAGGCTGTGAGGGCAGAGTCTGTGAGACAGCAGAGGCTGTGAGGGCAGAGGCTGTGAGACAGCAGAGTCTGTGAGACAGCAGAGTCTGTGAGACAGCAGAGTCTGTGAGACAGCAGAGGCTGTGAGACAGCAGAGGCTGTGAGGGCAGAGGCTGTGAGGAGCTGTATAAGGATAAAGCACACTCTGGCTGGACCAGGACAGTCCTGTGTCCCATGTCACATCTCCTTTTACAGTTACTGCCAACACTTCTTCCATTCTCAAAAGTGCCCTGATCTGAACAGCAAATTTTATTCTTATGTTTTTAATAATAAAATGCTCTCATTTTTACCAGCAGGGATTCCATTCAGTGAAAAAAACTGCTCCAAATTCAACTGAAGAGAAACTCATCCCTTTATGAGTGCAGCTGTGTCCGACAGAGGGATGCAATCTAAGATTCGACGGTGTACTAAATCCCAAGCCTTGCTGAGTTTACCAGCTGACCTCTCCAATGTAAGGCTGGCAACCTGACAGGAATAGTCTTTTGGAACCCCTGGGTTTTGTGGAAGGACCAGAAAGCAGCAGTACTGTGAGCTGCTGGAGTCACTGCAAATTACAGATGAAAACCTGCTCTGAATGACTGTGCACATTCTACAAGATACAAACACCTCTATCCCCAGAACACGTCACCTCTCCACATTTGCTCTTGGCTTATTCTTAGGTATATGCAGCTGTGTCTAGCTCAATCTCAAGTGCAAGGTCGACCCTCTTCTCTCCAGACCACTGCTGTGAGCACAGAGACGGCAGTCTTTTGCCCTGGCAGGTACAAGCACACTGCACTAAGCACTGTTCTTCACAACTAAGCATAACAAGTCAAGTCATTATTCTGCCTTCCTTCCAAAAGAAAACTGCCAACAATTTTCTTATAATTGGTGTGCAGAACTAATTCATGTTATACCAATAAATAATACACTAAGAAATTAGCTGCAATTCACAAGTCTACTTTCCACAGAGATAGAATCTTAATTATATAAGCGTGTTTGCAGTGATTAAACCATCCAATTGCCAAGTGAAAAGAAAGAGAAGGGTCTGTAAGAGTAACAGAAGCTTGTATATTAAAGACATGTTCTCAACTCTCTAATACAGAAGATGTTGTACACGAGAAATTACATTGTTCAAAATGTCCATAATGACGCTAACCAATCACTAAAACAGTATTGTATAGAAAAACATCAGCATAAGCAACTGACTCCCACTCAGGATTCCTGAAAGAAAATTACTCATTGACAACACAAACCAGCACACTCAGAATGTCTACCATAACACCATCTTGTGCTTTTACCACAGAAGGGAAATATTTGTTTCTCTTTGAGAAATTCTTGGTATGTTAGTAATTTATTTTTCTTGGCTTCTATATGATGTTTTTATAATGACTTCAAAGAATGATGATATGTGGACTTAGGAAAACATATATTGCCAGACTAATCACTGACTTAAACATAACTCATTCTAAATAGTGCCTCCCATAAGAGAATCAGGTCCAGTAATTTACCTTAAGAACTGTGATTGCTTCATGTGAATTTATGATAACCTACATTTTGTAGACAGAGATGCCAACTACCGTCTGGTCAACAACATATTTGGTTTGAACATATAAAAAAGGTGGGTTGTCATCCCATGTGCAAGGAATCCGATTTTTCTCACTACCTCTGTCATCTATAAAGCTAGAATAAGCACCCTCAGATCTGCATTAATCTGGAATATTTAGAAGCCTATCTGTCATAAAGAAAGCATCTTGACAAATGAACATTTTGCTCTTTATGCAGTTTTCACGGCTGCACACTGATGTGCACTGGATTATGAAATAACAAGACCCACAGTCATTCAACAAAAGGACAGAGACTGAGAAAGAAACAAATATTTCCCTTTATTTGAGTGTGTTACATCTACTCGTGGGATAGTCATTAAAAATTAAAAATTTTAATTTACAGGACTATAAATGATGCTACTTAACTGAGAACCAGCCAGCAAACAGTAGCATCTGAAGAACACTACTCCTGGAGGGCTTCCCACCCACACCAAGTCGGCTTAGTAGTGTCTACAGTAGATTAACAATGCCTAAGTCAGAAGAACAATGCTCAAGGTTATACCAACAGGGGGTTTCCTTACTCCTTTGCCAGCTGCACATTGGTAGGCTTTGCTCCAATGGGGATCCCATATTTGTGCAAAGTGTTCATCAAAATCTCCCTCATGTCACTGTTGTAAGAATCAAAGTCAAATACATTCCGAACCACACTGGAGAGGCCTTCAGCGGGAAATTTCTGTATGGAAAAAAAAATGTTCTCATTATCTATGAGATAAAGCTTACATCATCATACGTTTGTAAAACAGAGCAACAGCACACCGACGTACTTCAGCAGAAATGCACTAGCTGTGTCCAATAACCAGGCAGTAAGGAAACACACACACTTGTGCTTAGCAGCGACTGAGGAGGAGGACTGCACCTCCTCCATTTCTGCTGCATACCTCAGGTGTGGACCCCTGCTCAGACCCTCAGTTGGCTTCTTGACCTGCTTACTGCTGCACTATTCCATCAGCCAAGACATGAAACAGACTAGACGTCTGCTGACTGATGAATGGATTGATATATGGTATGTAGACACATCCGGTTTTATGCAGCCATAAAGAAACGAAGTGTGTCACTTGGAGGAAAATGCATGGAGCTGGAGATCATGAGACATGATGCAAGCCAGAAGCAGAGACAAGCATGCTGTGTTCTCTCTCATGTGGATTCTGCACTGAGCGAGCACACAGAGGACATGCAAGTGGAAGGGGGGCTCTAAGTGGTGAGAATGAGGTTTAAAGGAGGAGCGGTGTGGGGGACAAAGGAGGGTGAGAACGGAAAGATGGACTATTGCGTTCTAGCGTTCTCTCTTACATGCACGGGCGTTGTAACTATGTGCACACACTCACACAGACACACACGCAGCAGAGGGAACGACGTGGAGAGAAGGAAGTAATATGAGGTGAGGTGAGGAGGAATAATGGGGAAGAGCAGAGAGAGGCATGGACAGAGAGAGGCACCATGCATACCTGTATGAAAATCTCCTAATAAAACCCATTGTTCTGTATTCTAAGTAAAAAGTAATTTACAAAAAGAAAAATGGGTATACCAGATTGACCAAGCTAAACAAACCAGCTAAATAAAATGTTGAATGTCAACACACACAAGTCTAGAACACTCAGTCTATAAATAAATGGGAAAAAAGATAAAATCACAAGGAGGGGAAGAGGAACTTAAGGACAGGAAATGGAGTAGGGTTCTGCCTGCTGCTCCCTGGAACACAATGCTGAGAAGGCAGGAGCCACCACAGCTCAACGTGTGCTGGTGGCTCCTCTACTGACTGTTCCCGTTTCCTCTTGGAGCTGCCATCCAGGCTGGTGTGCTGCACTTAGCAAGGCCTCAGACACAGAGTAAGCTTTTCTTTTTCTTCCCACATAAATATATTTATATTTATTATATACACACATACACACATATACATAAAATAAAACATAGATATATGAACATATATATATATAATGAAAGTATATATTATATAATAAAAACATAATATATAATAAAAATACATTTTTCAAATCAGTTTTTCAGGCCTCAGGATAGAATGCAGTACTTCTGTCTGTGTACATGCTGCAGTATAATTAAAGCACATGAACTGACCTGTTTGTCATTTTTTATAATTCTATCTTAATGGATATAATCATTTAACTGTTGTGTGTAATAGAATCTCTTCCTCTGCCATGGAAGCTTCTCTCGCTTTAACCATCTCTCTCCCTTCTGACCTCCCAGCACGCTATTTTCTCAGTAAGGTTTTCTTGGAGGGTTAGAGACCAAAGAGAGTTCAAGAGTTTCAAGGCTGTGGCTGTTGTCTGGAGATCAGTATTTCCTCTACAGAGTTGACATGGTTTTTTTCTTCTTTTCTTTATCAAGTGGATTATACATTGTACATGATCACAGGAATTTTATTCTCTTGAGCACTTACCTACCTTGACAAACTTTCTTTTAGTGTATTGTCTATTAGGTCTTGTTCTACTTCTACCTTCATGTCATTTGTAATATTTCCTACCCAGACACCACAGGCTGGTTGTAAAAAGCCAAACAATAGAAACGTTTCCTTGTTGCTGAGCTATTTTTCCCTTCCAAAACACACACGCAGACATACACACACACACACACACACAGACACACACACATACACACACACACACACAAACAAACACATACACCATATCAAATTTCAAAATAAAACCAAAATCAACCCATCAAAGTTTTTAGCTGATTGGTAATGCTCAAGGCACAAAACTTGCCAAAGTCAACTCCAAGACTGAAGTAGATCATCCCTTGGTCTCTTAGATCTATTTCTTAGCTTATGCAGACATCATATCAGGCTGTCTGGTTGACCTATCATAGAATGGCAATGGCAGTTATAAACTGTGCAGTCTGGAAAACACAGGGGCATCCACACCTGTAAGTGTTTGACAATATTGACAACTTCTCTGGTGGAATATGGATAGTTGATAATCCCTTGGTCAGCCAAGTTCCTCAGCTCTCCGAAGGCTGCCACAAGCTTCTGAAGGATGGGTTCAGGCACATTGGGGCCATACTGTTTGAGCATCTCAAGCTCTGAATGGGGCTTGGGGTTGTCAATGGCATGGCAGCTAAAAATGTCACCTACAGAAAAGAAGAAGAATTCCGTTCAGTGAGCAGTCAATCCACTGTAAGCCTGCAGAACAAATTGCAATCCTGGTTTAAAGTCAGTAGTTGCTTAGCAAATCTCAGAAAGCCTATCTAATAATAGGAGTGTACAAAGAAGAAAGATTTGTATGCCATGGGAGAGACTCTCAAGAGAAAAAAGAAAACCTGTTAGATCAGAGCTCTGTGACTGTATGGATGTGGCTCAATGCCTGACCCAGAAGAAAACTAACCGATGTATGCTTTGTTCTGCATGAGTTTATTTCTATGAAAAGGTATGTAATATCCAAATACATGCTTCCTGGGAGATATTAAAATACACAGGGCCAGGGTCCTTTGTCCCTGGCAATACACTCAGTTGGAATGGCTCAGTCCAGACCAGCAGCAATGAGGCCTTATTTTGATTTAGGAACCATTTGGATACACAGCTATTTTGTGTGTGCATAGGTAAGAGTGCCCGTGTATGTTTAAAGTAATAAAGCAGAGTGAGTATCACAGCTTTGAGCATCATCTCACAGACTGATATTTTCAAATACAAACATGCAGGACAGCTCTGGTTTGTTTGTTTGATTTTGAAACTGAAAGTTGTCCTGAATGTAAAAAGGTTGATCCCTCTACTATGCAGTCACCAAATACTTATTAAACATCTTCCAGACACCTTATATTACCTAGGTACAGCCCTAGGTATTATACATCAATGATTTAAAGACTCCCCTTCCTTGTGGAATTACATTGTTACAAGGATCATAAGTTAGAATGGTCCACAGCAGTACAACCGGAGGTGGGAGAGGGCAGTCGTGGGGGCTTCACTGAGAAGGCAAAGCCTGACAGAACAAGGCTGTTTTCAACAACATTCTAGGTGGTCGACTCAGCTAAAGCAAGTGTACCTGGCACAGGGAAGGGTGAGGCAGGAGAGTTGGAGAGACGGGATGTGGGAGACATCACCAAGGATGCTAGAAATCACTGAACAGAGGCTCGGGAGGCTGAGCTCAGTGAAACAAGGAGCCAGGGGATTTCCCCCCAGAGGATTACTCTGCTGTGGAGAACAGACTGTAGATGGGATAGGGCGTGGTTCCCAATCTTCCTAATGCTGCAACCCTTTACTACCGTTCCTCACATTGTGGTGAACCCTAACCATAACATTATTTTTGTTGCTACTTCATAACTGTGATTTTGCTACAGCTATGAATTATAATGTGAACATCTGTGTTCACATTTCATGACCCCTGTGAAATGGTCGTGTCCCACAGATTGAGAACCATTGAGAACCATGATTGGTGTGGGGACCAATGTCCATCTCTGGGTCTGCAGCACTGCTATTCATTTTGCCAGAAGAGGCTCTGACCAAACTGTCCTCCAAGGATGTCACAGAGCGATGACTTTGGAAGGTAATCTCTCTGGAACGCAGTTAGGCAAGCTATTACAGGCTTGTTACTGACGTTCAGGTCTTCCACATGGCATCCCAGTGTGATCACTCACACTGGTTATCACTCCCCAGTGCTGGTGTACCACACCACTCAGCTTTGCTCTACTACTGCTCAAAGTTCCCTCCTTAGCTTCTGACCCAGAGTCTAGTGTTTTCTGACATGAAATTGTGGCAGGCTAACTTATTTGGCAAAAATTTATTAATAGATCCTTCTGAGCTCATGACAACAAGCAAGAGCAGAAGCAAGAATCTCATTAATGACTCTATTATTGTTATTGTTATTATTATTGTTGTTGTTGTTGTTGTAATTAAGATGAGAGGGTGGTAGCTCCAGCCAAAGTGCTGGCCAGTCTTGACAATGGTGTCATCATTTGGAATGTGTTTTAAGAGCCAGTAAGATTTCCTGGTAAGAGAAAGAAAAGTCAAGAAATATTTTCTGTCAAAAAGGATGGAGTTATTATCATAAATCAAGGGGATTAAGAAATAAAAAATTCATTTAGCAATTCAATCTCATACTGTGGAAATATTAGATCTGAGGTAAGGTGCTAATAACAGGCAAGTTGGAAATAAGTGTGTTCAGCAGGGAACTGGAGAGTCTGGCTAGAGAGAATTCATGGCAATAACAGCTATTTAATTGGTATTGTAAAATGGCGTACTTTGATTGTACCAAGGGAATGAGTGCAGGCAGAGAAAAGAGGAGTAGCGCATTCTCAGAAGGAGTCGGTGAAGAACCTGAGAAGGAATGATCATCAATGGAGGAGGAAGCCCAAAGCACCTGAGGAAGGACCAGGAGGCAGGGAAGGAGAGGACAGAGACTCCGTGTGCCAGCTACCCTAAGCACTTCAAGGAAAGCCGTTGCCAAAGAGCCATCACTAGTCTTAGTCACAGAAATGGCCCTGAACACTTAAGAATGGCTTCTGGGGTGACTCAGGCAAAGGTGTGATTAGAAATGATTGGAGAAGGGAGAAGAGGAAATGGAGAGGGAACTGAACTTCTGAACACAAACAACTGCTCTGAGTTTGCTATAAGCAACAAACAGGCGGAGGGAAGAACAGTAATTAGATAGAGAGACCCTGTCTCAACAAACAGACAAAACCAAAAATCTAAGGTGTATGCGGCCAGGATGAGAAGACCGAAGTTGTCCAGCAACCACTGTGCAGAGAGGATTAGAGTAGAGATATGGGAGAAGGGGAAGAAGAGAATGAAGGGGAAGAGGAAGATGGAGAAGGGGAGGAAAAGGGTTGGAGTGGGTGGCAGGGAACAAGGAGCAAGTCGCCTAGGAATGAGAGTGACACTTGGCAATGGCAGACAGAGACAGCACAGACACCGAGCATCACTGTAGGCCTTGGGACGAATGTGAGGAAAGGGCCCCTGGGTGAGCGCAGCTATGAAGATCCTGATTCTGGGAAGAACTTATGCCTTTCCATACTAGAGAGAGCTATAGGCTTGCTCTGGAGTGTTCATATGAGCACATTTGTAACAGCAGCAGTAATGCAGGAATCTAAAATAGAAACAACCTAAAGAGTCTAAGGGAGCCTACAGCATACACCAGTTGCTTCTGGGATGTATGGACTGCCACCCTCATTACAGCATACACCAGTTGCTTCTGGGATGTATGGACTGCCACCCTCATTTCCATGACTTTCTGTTTTAATTACTACTCTGAGGACTGCTTTTCACTTCAGCATGCTAGTTACTGATATTTTTCTGGCACACTACTCTACTGTGTGGATGCAGAAGAATTTCTTTATCTAGTCTCCTTTGGAAGGACTGTAGTTGTTTTCACTCTAGTTACTACACCTAATGCTGTACTGAGTGTCCTTGTACTTAGATGGCTATTCAGAAAAACCACTGGGGCAAATCCTGCATGAACTGCCTAAGAGGAGCACAGGCTTGCTTTGTATTGTGTGTGAGAGTCCAGAGTAGAGGAATCCTCCTTCATGCATGATGATGACGACGCATCCTTGGGGGCCTTTCTACTCAGTATGACTCAGTCTCTTCAGAGCTGGCCTTGGTCTCTTTAGCTCGAGAAGGCAGAGGCAGACACTAGGAGCCATTCATTATGTAGCATTAAACAGTAAAGTTTAGTACAACTGCTTAAGAAGGACGCGCTAAGCCAGACTTGCACACAAAGCTCAGCTCCACCACTCAGTAGCTAAGTGATCTCAGGAAAATAACTCCCCTGAGTACCTAAAGCTCTGCCCTCCCCGTGTGGCTAGGAAAAACACAGCCCATGGTGAGTAACAGCAGCCACTACAGCATGGTGGCCGAAACTATCATTGCCATTATTAAGTCATTGTTTTTACCTAAAGTTCCAAAGAAATCATTGCCCAAGAACGGGAAGCCAGGCCTGTTGGCCAGAACCATCATCCTAAAGTCAGGATGAATCACGATCACGTTCTCTCTTCCATCCACATTAGCTGCATCTGAAAAAATAAAATGGGTAGTTTGTGAAACTTTCCTCAAAACAGGTGTTCCTGATTCTAGTGTCACCAAAAAAAAAAAAAAAAGCTGTTTAAAAATCACACTTGAGTTTAAAAATTACTGTATTCTTCTACTTCTAAGCTAGCCTTCCAAATCACAGGAGAGCACACTGAGGGCCAGATCCAGTCAACACTTGACCACAGCTTTGTCCTTTCTTGGTGCACTCTCTTTGTAGTGCTATAAGCACCAGAGCAAGGGAGGAGGCTGAGTTCTAGTATCTGGGAATCTGAGGGATTCTGTCAAGGGACAATACTCATGCTAAGGCAAATTCTCATTTGCCTTAAACTGTGAAAGAGAAATGTTAAAATGCTATTATTGGTGCTAAGCAGAGGCTGCAGTAGGGACTGTCACCAACAGTATCACAGAGGACCACCTCTAAGATGCTGAGCTTTCTAGCGGAGCCCTCTTTATGTGTGCTCTTCAAGTAGTGAAGATTTTACGGTACTGGCTATGTATTTTCTATGGCTAGTTTTTAATTTTCATGTCTTTCAAGAGACAAAAACAAAAAAACAAAAACAAAAACTCTGAAATAAGAATCTTGCATTGTATTTGGCAAACTTACATTGTCTGCAGTTATATATACTTGTGCTGGCTAGGTTTTGTTTTTTAGTCAGCTTAACACATGGTAGTTCACCTGGGAAGAGGGGACCTCTACTGAGAGAAACTATGCCTGGGTAGGAGCCCCTGTAGAAGAGTCTATGAGTCATCTTCTTTGTTGGTGATTGATATGAGAGGACCTAGCCCCACTGTGGGTAATGAGCCCCTAGGCAGGGGGGTCCTGGGTGCATAAAAGGGCAAACTGAGAGCCCTACCAGGCACAACCAGTAAGCCACGCTCCTCCATGGTCTCTACCTCAGCTCCTGCCTCAGCTCCTGCCCTGAGTTCCTGCCCTGACTCCCCTCTGTGATGGACTGTGGCCTGAGAGGTGTAAGCTGCAAACTATAAGCCGAAATAAACCCTTTTTCCCCAAAGCTGCTTGTGATCACACAGCTTTATGACAGCAACAGAAATCTAAACAGAGACAACACTGATGAGATTAATTTATCTTCATTTCTTTTCCAGCAATAGCTGCAAAAGAATGTTTGGGTAGGAAGAAAAGAAAATCTAAAGCAGAGAATAACCTCTTCCTGAGTGAGATATACATATATGTACAAATGTACACACACATACAAATTAAACAAAACACCCAGTGATCTTTAAAATGTGTCTAGCATTTTGCCTGCATGTGTTCACCGGCTTGTGTACCTGGTGGCAGTGGAGACCAGAGGACAACACTGGATTTCCTGGAACTGGAGTTACAGATTGAGTGAACACGGGGGTTCTAGGAATAGATCCTGGATGCTTTGAAGAGCAGCAAGTACTCTTAACCACTGAGCCATCTCTCCAGCCCATGTTAGTGATTTTTAAATGTACCGAGCCAATAATATAAAGTAAATTTTGTAAGCAAGAGAAACACGCCAGTGTTTCTAAAAATTTCCAGATAGCAATTCAATAATGGACTCACACCCAAATATATGAAAACTTAGCATACAGGTTCAAGGCTGACATTTTTCAGAATAAAACAGTATAAAGCTCATTTGTCTCAGTCCTACTATCACAATCGTCAGGGACTGATGATAGAAACGGGAAACTAGGGCTGTGGGTGATGTGCAGTGACAGAGCATGTGACTCCATGACTGAAACGCCTAGTCTACTCTTGGCATCAAACAAAACAAAACAGCCGACAAAGCATACTACAGACGCAAACTGACACAGCAGGAAGACGTGGCTTGTTAGTACTCACCTGCAACAATGCGTCTTCCGTCCGCGAGAATCATTTCTCCGTTTTCTACCAGAGTTTTCAAAATACAGGTGACATTTGTTGGGGCCTTGTCTGCCTCATCTACTACTAGAATATGACCCAACTTTACTGCTTTAACCTTTTGAAGAGAGAAAACTTATCATAATCAAGAAAAGAACCGAAGTAAGCACTACTAAAAGCTCATTGCTCATTGCTTTGAACTTACCAGAGCTGCTGGTAAGTTACAGGTCCACTACCACATAGTCAGTGACAGAAGCATCACAGATACTAAAACATGGCAGCAAGCTTTGTTCCTCTCAGTGTTAGAACCATTCTCAACAACGTTTCACACCCTAGAACAGGGGGCCCTTAAGGAGTATAAGAGGTAGATGAAGGACCACAGAGCTGGGAGGAGTCTGTCAGAACAGTCACTGAAAACAGAAAACTGCTTTCATGGATCTTCCAATATTGTCACAGTTGTATAGATCAGTGGGGGGTGGGGGAGTATTCAAGGCAAAGAGAATCAATGGTCAAACTGCATTTGTGGAGGGAGGAGTGAACATGGAGAGCCTGTGTTGTCTCTAGGACAGTAAATGTAACAGAGGGCACAGGAAGGACAATTGGGTTTCTACTGCTAAGGAATGGGATGCCAGAGCAGGGAATATGCAGTTCACCTCACAAAGTAATGGGACATAACTACACACGTGTGAGTTCCGACATTACGAAAATGGAGCCCTGGTAGTCTGCAGGACACTGAGCTTGGCAGAATACACAGAATAGACTTACTTTGGGAAACTGAAGCAGGTATAGAAAATACAGGTAAAAGCATTAGGCTGATCTTGTAGAAAGGTGTAGTCTGTAAATGTTTACATAGGAAGGAGAAAGGCAGGCAAGCTGGTGAGGTCTTCAGTAACCACGCAGAGGGGTCATGAGTAGGAAGATGGACGCTGTCAACCTGACCTACCTTGTCATGTCTCTCCTTGTGCTTTTAAGGAGGCAGACAGGAAATACTCTATGCACTTCAACATAAACCTAAGATTTTCTTCTAAAAGATACCAATAATCTATAACATAGTAATCATGTCATAGTCTGTTCTGACTGCAGTGCTAACTAATCATTTGAAATGCAAACTGATGGAGGATGCTCCCCACCTTCTTTGTCTTGTTTTGATTTGGTTTTTCAAGACAGGGTTTCTCTGTGTCGCCCTGGATGTCCAGGAACTTACTCTGTAGACCAGGCTGGCCTTTGTGGGACTGTGAAAGGTAGCTTGGTTCCCAGATGAGCTAAAGCTCAAAACCCTGGAAATCCTGAAGGGACGGTAGGCAGTTTGCCTATTCCCAGATACCAGGCCCCTGTCACTAGCCACAGTCCCCCATAGATTTGTGACCATCAGTGACACTTGGGCAATGACATAAGCCCCTCCACTTGTAGAGGATGTGACCTGTGTTCACATAGCCTCAAGACAGATCTCCATTTTAATGAGGTACCTAAAAGCCTGGAGGGATTAGCCAATAAGCTTTCCTTCCCAGATATTCCTCCCTGAAAAAGGTATTTAATCTCAGGCCCATCCTGAGAAGTGGGGTATGGTTTTACTCATCCACCTTCTACCAAGACAATAAATGCTTTAAAATCATGGACTGTATCTTTTAATTGGAATCCACCATGGGGAGTCCTGGAGAAGGACTTCACTTATAGAGGCCCCATCTAATTTCCCACAGAAGGCCTCTCTGCACTCCCAGCCATGGCAGCCACCAAGCCAAGCTCAAGCCTGCTGCTGCCAACAAGCCAAGGACTATCACTGTAGGACCAGCCGGACCCCAGGGTAGATCCAGCCCACAGGCCCCCACTCCATTCTCAGCTCTTCCGCGGATTCCAGTGGTTCCTGGGTGTCCAAGAGTCTGAGAACCATACAGCCCCAGCCTCATCACAGGCCTGGGATCCTCCAACCAGCTGTGGCTGTCCCGAGCCTCAGACTGTGCTTTCCCACCCCTGGAACAGTATCCCAGGGCTTCCCTACAGCCCAACATCCACCTGACAACTGCCTTAAGATGCTTCCTTTCAACACAAAATTTCATAATATAGTCTCAAACACTTGATAAGATTTTTTTCCCTTTTAAATTTAGGATAAATTTGGAGACTCCTGGCAGAAATCTCAAAGTCCCCAGCCTTGTGGCCTGGCCAACAGTAGCCCCAGGATGGCTGCCTTCTGTGCAGCATTGTGGCCTGGCTTAGATTTGAGTCAGCTTCCCAAAACACTGAGTTAATGTTTTGTTAGTTTAGAACAACAGCAGACTTAAAAACAATCTCAGAAAGTAAGCAGAGGATTGGTGTCAGTCCTGGACTCTCTTTCACTCGGGAGAAATAGTGCAGTAAAAGAATATGTTACTTTCCAAATAATGTCATTTTGATAGAAATGTGCGTTTAAAATGACACATGCGTGTGCTTTAATCAGACAGTTAACCCATCCATAGGCTGAGATACAGTTACAAGCAAAACACACTTTAAAATACTGTTATCATTGGCTTACTGACCAGAGGTGAGTCTTCATACACAATCAGTCCATCTTTAACTGAGGGCTGAAGAGTCAGAGACTGCACTGTGGTGTCCCTAAAATCAAACCAAACACTTCAGTCAGTAAGGAATTAAACCAATGTTTGGGCATGAATAAATAAATCAATGAGTAAATCTTTACATTTGTTCATCATCTTGATTTTCCCAAGAAAAGCCACATAATGAGTAAAAGTGCAGCCAACAACAGGATTCTGTTGACAATATAAGTCTAAGTGGTTTATAAATTAATACAGTTGCCAAATCAGCCCTTTCCTCCAGTAATCTTATTATAGTAATTTCACTACTCAAAATGATTTCCTGAGAATGAACAGACTATTTTAAAATACGTTTAGATTACTACATATTACAAAGAATGCTTATACTACTTAAAAATTTTGATGACAAGTTTGCCATCCTGGCCATCAGGTGAACAAACACATTGCACATCGAGGCAAAGGTCAGACTATAATGCTACTTGAAGAACACAGTTACTTCATAGGATTTTGAAGATTTGGAGATGAAATCAGCCTTGTATCATACGTACTATTTTTTAACTGAAGCTATTCCTTTACTATTTATCTAGCCATCAAGTCTGGGTGTTGAAAAGCGTCAGCACTGAGTTATCGATGCCCCGAGCCTTTTTTCTGAAGAGCTGTGAAGTTACTATCACCTGTGGATGTTTTTGCCAGACCTGTGTGCAGTGTTGCAAGCAACTTTATGCCTTACTTTCTGTATGCATGACATTTTAAAAATGAAAAATCCTATGGCCACCTGACCAAGCTGCACAGTGGAGTGACATGAAACAAATTGTAACTAGTGTCTCTCAAAGTACAGGTTACCTTTCAAAAAAGCCTGCTACTTATTCAAAGTAAACCACAGAGCTCCATAGCACAGCCTTGAGCTTCTACTATGTGTAAGACACTGCCTGTATTGTAAACATCAGACCTGAACTCTGTACTTTGCTACAAACTAAAAAATGTGCAACATGCATCTTGGAGGTAAGGTGTGGTCCAAATGATCTTTAAGTCTGTCTTACAAAATACTGTGATATCAGCAAGGTGCCCTTAGGGGTGACTAGTCACAGCACTCAGAGTTGATGGTCTATGTCCATCTTTTATTCCAGACAAGCTGAATTTAGATTTCCTATTGCATTGGGTAACTCTCCATCAATATCTTCGAGTACCAGGGCTAGAACAGAAACATGGGCAATACGATCATGCATCTTTACTGTTTCTAGATTCCTGTTTCATTTACACCTTGTTAGAAAGAATTCCTTAATTTGACAGGTGATGGGTTTCTTGAGTTAGCCCCTTGGGTCTGGCTCATAGCTGTCCTGACGCTAAGCTGCCACAATCATGGTCATGTGGGACGATGATCTGTCCCCAGACTTGATTGTTTCTTCCACTTCACCAAGATATATCCCAAAGGATCAGGTTTTGTCTTTACTGAAAATCAAATTAAATGTCCCACTAAATGTAAAGCACTGTGGAAATACATTCTGGTAGTTTATTGGTGCTTTTCAGCATGTTTTTGTGAGACATTAGGGATGTGGTTATATATCAATTTCTGTATTCTCAGGTCTTATTCCTTCACGGTCAGTCATACTTTATATTATCTTTTGATGACAAATTAATTTTCAGTTTTGAATAAATTAAGAATGAAGTTTCATTAGCTGACTTAAATACACTATTAATATTCTAGCACTAGAGGAGAGAGTGGGTGGGGAAAGGAAGAATACTTGTTCACACGGATTTTTATAGCAACATAATGGATTTCTCACCTCGGCTCTCATATCTTTTAAGGGCAACAGCTTGACACCTTCCAGCACCAAATAGGAACAAGAAACTCTTGCATCATTGTCAGTGAGAAGGAAGAAAAGTCAGCTTCTGCAGTAACGGTGCTGCATCGCGCCTTAGGATCAGTCAACTTAAGGTGAATTCTAATTTTAAAAAGGCCATTGAAACTGCTCTATAATATGTGAAATCTGATAATATACAACTTGCCAAAATAGATTTCATTAAAGGTTTGGTGCTTGAAGTAAGAACATGTGGGTAGGTTTTGCTTTTTTTTGCTTTGTTGTCTTGGCTTTTTAAAAAAAATTTTCATATTTATTATTATTATTATTAATTTTTAGAAAGAAAATTAGCACAAATAAGATGTTCTCCAAAGATGACTGCAATGGGGATAAAGGCATATGGGAAACATGACTTTCAGTGAAATTGACTATGGGAGAAAGAGAATTATTTCAGGATAAAGCCAGAGTGCTATGGCACTTTCATGTGGAACATCAAAGGGAAAGGAAAGGCTAGTAAACTATGTAAAATGAGAGTGACATGAGCCTCTAGTTGCTTGTATTGGGGCAGTTATGTGCTGATGCGTTCTGTGTGCTGGGGGGAGGGGATGGCACAATGTATTCTGCTCTGCATGGTTCCTAATAAGTAAGAAAAGAGTTGGATTTCTATGACAGCTTATAAACTCGAAGTCAGTAAATAACAAGGCACTTACTGTGGCCACAGACAGCACAGGACACAGATTCCTAATGATACATGGTTTTTTTCTTTCAGAGTATTAGATTTAAATAATTGCTCCACATTTATGAGCATCTTGGGTCAAACATATTAATTCCACACATACAAAACAATGCCTGAAGAGAATATAGCAATTTCAAAACTGTTTTGTCTTGTTCCTTTCAAAAAACAGCTTTGAATTATTAGCTAATAAAAATTTAGAGTCAACAATCTTAACAATACTGGGGAGAAGAAAAGCTAAACCACATCTCAGCTTCAGTTTCTTTGGCCCAAGTTTTAATAGAGATGGTTTTCCAGTTACTGGTAATGCTTCAGTCAATTAATGAATGTTCAGCTAATTGCTGGCGTTTATGCTATTAGGAACTGTTCCTGCTTCTTACTAGTTTACAAAGTACAATTTTCTATCAAAGTTTAAGTCAGTATGTGGGTGGCACAAAAAAATAGCATGCTAAACTAGTTTTCTTTTAACTATAATTTACATCCTGTTTTGAAGTCAAATTTTTTATATGCAGTAGTTTACTTAAAAATGATGCCAGATACAATAAAAATAATTAAGTTATGCACAGACCAAATCTTTGTCAAAATGAGGAAATAAAACTGGTGTGGGTGGGTGGTGTGGTGGGGGGAGGTGGACTTCCGAGAAGGCAGGGTGGGAGTGTGTGGGTGGGTAACTAGCCTCTGAGGAAAAGGGCAGAAAGTGTGTATATGGGGGAAGGTCAGGAGAGAAAATGCATTCTGCTCTGAAATGTGTTTGTACAGGTATGTAAAGCTGTTCTCTAATTCACCCAGGAATAAAAAATATTAAAATAAAGATATTTATTTTGAAGATAGTTTAATGAGATTCATTTCCATAGATTTAGATTAGTATTCTTTCCTTAGGAAAATACGCTGAGGGTGAAAGAAAAAGAGAAGGCATAGGAGCTTCCAAAGCTGGTATCTCCTTCAGAACCAGCTATGTCCTGAAACTAAAGCATCTACAGACCACTCAGAATGAGGTAAGCATGAGACCAGAACACAGACGACTCAGGAAACAACAAACACAGATTTGATCAGTACTGTAAACAGAGGGGTGATTCACAAGTAGAACTAAATGATAATTCTTATCAATAATTACTGGAGGTTGGTCCGGTGCTGCTATGCATTCAAATGCTAAACACTGGCCCTTAAGATCTCGTTGCGGTCCAGCCAAGCACATTCTCAAGTACACCAAATGATGTTGTATAAACTTTGCCAGCCTATCTTCTCTGACTGGTTAAATAAAAGTGGTTGACAGCCAATTATTGGGGAGAATAGAGGTAGGTGAGGTTTCAGTTACCAGGCTGAGAGTCCCAGGTAGGGACCCTGAGAGAGAGAACAGAGGAGAAGGAAAGAAGTCGGGGGGCGGGGCGGGGAGGAGGTCTCCCTTAGGCAGGACGGACCAGCATGGGCTAAGAGAAGTGTCCTTGAGGACAGACGGATGGGACAAAAATCATCGTGGGTGAGACTCAGACTCTCAAACAGCAAGTGACTGGGATGCAGGGATGGGAAGTAGCCAGTCTAGCATAGAAAAATAGATTAGGGCAGTCACTCAGTAACTGTGCTAAAGCTGACTAAATAAGCTTTATTATTAAATTATAAGATCATTATTATTAAGACTAAATAAATCAATAAGACTTTCACTAGATAATTGGGAGCTTGGCCAGGTCATAATAAGAACTAATAGTTATTAAGTATTATACAACAATAAATAAGATATTAATAATATTTACTAAATAAGGTTGTTTTTTTTTGTTTGTTTGTTTTTTAGGTTAAAAATTGCTTTTATTCAGAGCTTGTAGACCACTTCCTTCCAGCCAATAATTTTGCTTCAGTGTCCTGGGCTCTTGCCATTTTTAAATTTTCAAATGTATCTTCTTGTATTTTTGTTACCCTTTCTCTTGAAAATAACTTACATGTTTCTGCAGTATACTAGCTGTCTTATGAGTAATTTTAATCTCATAATACATGTCCTTCAATTCTTCAGAAATGCTTTTTTTCTTACTGCTTAAAAAGTATTGTGTTTCTGCCCCTTCTAACACTTCACTCTTCTCATCTCAGCCTAGTTTCCAGCTGACTTCCTCCTTTCACATTAAATATCTTCTTTCTTTCCTTCCTTCCTTCCTTCCTTCCTTCCTTCCTTCCTTCCTTCCTTCCTTCCTTCCTTTCTTCTTTCCTTCCTTCCTTCCTTCCTTCCTTCCTTCCTTCCTTCCTTCCTTCCTTCCTTCCTTCCTTCTTTCTTTTAAATCAAGTCGTAATTTTTACTTATTCACACAGGGGTTATAAACACAGAAAGGCAGGATGTGGGGAAGGGTAATGACACTGGACTGTGGTTGTTCAGGGGGAGTACAGATATCTTTCAGAACAGGGTATCAGCTGGGTGAAGACTCAGGGAACAGGTCACTATGACTCTGCCTATGATTCACTTGTCCTTATCTAAGTTAGTATTATCTGCCAAGGCTACCTATTTACAAGGTCTATGACTACTCAGGCTGGTAAATTTCTACAAAAGCT